ACAGAGCCTTTGAATCCCGACTCTGCCACCTACTTACTAGCTGTGTGACTTTGGACAAGCCAATTCGCCTTTCTGAGCTCTGCTATCTAAATTTGTAACATGGGGATAATAGTATCTACTTGAGAAGGTGGCTGCGGATGAAATAAATGGCGTGTGTGAGATCTGTACTAGAATGGCTAGCACACAGTAGGTGCTCAATGTCAGCCATCATCACGATTCTATAAAAATACAAGGAGATGGTGTTGATCACAGGGCAACTGCAGAAGGAAAGCACAAGTGGGTGAGGACCGTGCTGGGGAGATTAAAGCAGGTGACCGGACACGTGGGAAACCCATGAGGAGCACACAAGGGTTCTCTTAGTAAAATCATCAAGAAAGAAGGTAGACATCAGGCCTGGAACAGCCAAAGGGTTGTCAATGGTGACAGAGCAAGGGCAGGACGGGGACTCCTCCAGTCACCGCTGTCTCTCCCTTGGAATGACATGCTTGAATGACAAACACAACGAAGGTGGAACGGGAGGCCAGTGGAGCTCCTTCCTCGCTACCTTGCATGAGTTCCGGGTTCTGTTTTACGAGGCGGGACACTGACAGATGTGCAACGGGATGGAGCTTTGATCTCTCTGAGCTGCTTTAGATGATTCAGGGGAAAGGTAGAGGGGTCAGGAGCCTGCGAAAGAGTACATGTGGCTTTGATTTTCAAAAATGGGGGAAAGGATAGATTTAGAAAATACCGGAGGTGTCCTTGATGTCCATCCCTGGCAAAGTTCTAGAAGCAGTGCTTAAACTGAGATGATAATCACAGTGGGCTGACTCCTAGCTGGCCTCTCTGCTTCGGCACTCAACACCCCACACCCCCGTACCTCCGTGCTGTTCTCAGTCTAGCAACCAGAGGGACCCCTTTAAGTCAAATCTGCTCAGGACCCTCCCGTGGGCCCCCCTCTTGCTGGAAAGGAAGGCCTGAGCCCTTCCCGTGGCCTAAAGGCTCAGAGCAATGGCCTAGCTATTCTCTGACCTGGGCCGTTACTCTTCCCCCTCCCTCCTTGCTCTTGGCCGTCACCCATACTATTCTCTTTGCCTGGACCACTCTTCCACCAGATAACTGCTCGGTTCTCTCCCAAATGTCACCTTCTCAACAAGGCCTGTGCTGAGCAGCCTACCTGAGCCCTCACATCCCCTCTCATCCTCTTCCCTCCCTGACATTGTTTCCCATAGCCATCACCTTCCAGCATAGTGTATATTTACTGACGGGGCCTGCTCACCAGCTTTCTCCCCTCTCTAAAATGCAAAGTCGGGTTCAGAATTACATCTGCACCCCCAGTTCCCAGAACTGCACCTACCACATAGTCCAATTCATGAAATATCTGTGATTAGGAGGGAGTGAGGAGAAAGGGAGCAAGGAAGATGGCTTGGTACACTTAGGAAGAGTTCACTAGCCCAGCTGGCATGGCTCAGTGGTTGAGTGTCAACCTATGAACCAGGAGGTCACGGTTCGATTCCCGGTCAGGGCACATGCCCGGGTTGCAGGCTCGATCCCCAGTGTGGGGCATGCAGGAGGCAGCCAATCAATGATTCTCATCATTGATGTTTCTATCTCTCTCTCTCTGTTTCCCTTCCTCTCTGAAATAAATAAAATATATTTTTTAAAAAAGGAGAGAGTTCACTAGACTAGGGTGACCAACCATTCCAGGTTGTCCCAAGACTGACAACTCCTAAAACAAGGGACTTCCAGCGCTAAGACCAGGAAAGTCCCTCTGGTCATCCTACACAGAGCAGCCAACCTCATTTTCTTCTGTGACCAGGGACTAGACTCAGCTCCCAGGAACGCCACAAACTCACTGTCTCCTCATTTTGATAGCGACTCCAATGAAGTCAGCCTCGTGGGAGAACGCAGAAATGCCAGTGCAAGATCGTATGTTCAGTGGTTTGCAGTTGTCTGAGCGGCCACGCCAGATATGTTGATTGCTGGCCCTGTGTCAGGCTGGTGGTGAGCCACAGCACGTGTCCACCCAGGTCTGCTCCACAATCTGTCTGAACTGTGGATGAGGACAGAGAAGGCAGGACAGAATGGATCAGTGGCACGCAGGGAGGGAACGCTAACACGGCAATAGTTAGGCTGGGTTTGGAAATCATCTCGAAAGATGGAAATGATAGGTCTTACATAACTTAACATTTAAACAGAAATAAATCTTGCTTTCTATTGAGGGTTAAAAAAGCAATCCTACACGTACAGAAGAGACCGGGTAAATAGCTATTTTGTTTGTTTAAACGCAGCATGTTTAGTTGCCTACACGCTCAGTCTAGTGTGAACGCTGACTTCAAATGCCACTTCGCCTGTGTTAATAGACATCAGGGCACGGTCGCCCATCCTCCCGCCTGCTCACAGGCACCTGAGAACATGCCAGCTCTGTGCCAGGGCGAGGCTGCTCACCCCCATTTCCTCGGTTTCGAGCGATTCTAGGGAATAACAACCCACCAAGTGCCTCTTTCTCCTTCCCCCTGACGGGCTGTGTCCCTGCAGTGGCATCTCTTTCTAGGAGAAACAAGGCCGTTCGTCCCGTCCTCTCTCAGCTCACCTAACTGCTCATGGTGGCCAATGCGCTTAGGACATGGGATCCAGTTGAGAGGTGTAATAGTCATACCTGCCTTTCCTCCCCAGAAGAAGGGATTCATTTGCAAGGACTCAAGCAGCTGTAGGCTCCAGGGCACTCGGGACGCAGCAGTGCAGCCAGACACTGGGCTTGCGGAGACTGGGCATCAGAATGGACCCTCCTCTCCCCAGGGGCTTCTCCCCACCCCCCAGGGCTTCCGGTCTGCAGCTGAGGGAAAGGAAGGTAGCAAAGAGGCCTTCCACCTTCCAACCCAGGCACGTCTGGGCTATTCTGAGCCAGCGGGAGCTGAGGCCTCGGGCCTCCCGCTGTGCGCTGCTCACTGTCCGGGTCTCTTGCTCTGCTGGGCCCAGGGCTCCTAGGGGAGGCGTGGGGTGGCAGCAGGTGCTGACAGCGGGAGGGGGTGGGGCTGCAGGGCTCCACAGGCTTCCCAGGGCTTCTGGGTGCTCACTTAAGGGAGCAAGACCTCGAAGCTCTGCCATGTGGGCCCATCCAGAAAGACAGCAAAGCGAGGAGAGGCGTTGATTTCCAGCTGCAGTTTTCCATGATCCGAAAAGGCCCTGCCCGCCTCCTCCCCACATGCCTTCTGGATCACGGGTGGCGAACAGGCTAGCTCCCAAGGCCAGCTCCAGTCAGTTGGCGGCTCTGCCCAGAACGTAGCTGTGGTGACCCCAACGTTCACCAGGAGAGAACACCGGAGGCCACAGGAGCGTTGGTCATGGTGCCGGAAGGGGACAGGAGCGTGTTTGCTGTGTCTTTGCTTGCCCACCCCCCACAAAGAACACATCAGCACCCATGGGAAGGAGCACGTGTGAATGGAGCCTGCTGACCCAATGAAGTGGGAGGAGCGGAGGCCCCTTCCCCCTCTCTCCTGGGGGCCTGGAGCAGGAGTGGAACGTTCTAGCCCAGTGGTCGGCAAACTCATTAGTCAACAGAGCCAAATATCAAAAGTACAACGATTGAAATTTCTTTTGAGAGCCACATTTTTTAAACTTAAACTATATAGGTAGGTACATTGTTATTAACTTAATTAGGGCACTCCTAAGGCTTAGGAAGAGCCACACTCAAGGGACCAAAGAGCTGCATGTGGCTTGCGAGCCGAAGTTTGCCGATCACGGGTCTAGCCACTACATGCTGGATGGAGATCTGAGGTCCTCAAAGTGTGGCCCCCAGACCAGCAGCACCAGTGTCCCCTGAAAACGAGTGAGGAAGGCAGAGTCTCAGGACCTGCCCAGATCTCGGTCAGAGGTCCCCAGGGGAGTCTGGGGTGGGCCTGGCCATCCACGCTCAGCAGGCCCTGGGTGACTCCGCAGGGGCAGGCTGAGCACAGGGGCAGGAGGCTTGTGAACGGGCATTTGTGAGGGTCTTCAGAGAACCCTGCTCTCCGGCGCTCACCGAGGGAGGAGCACCACCCTCTGCCTGGGGTGAGGGTGCTCTGTGTGGGTCCTGTGGGGCCCGATGCCCTGCCTCCTAGTCTGGCTTCCACCAGTGACTCCATGGCAGCTCAGTTCAGCCTCCGAGGAGTCTGCTGGCGTGTCTGGAGCTCAGGGGTCCTCAGGCTCACGCGCTGCTGCTTTTCAGTTTCAGGAGCTCCGTCACTTTCTCCAGACACCGCAGAACGAGGCCGGGGTCAGCGGCCTCTTGCTCTGGAGCTGCCCCACTGCCTGGCCCACAGCAGCCCCTCCCCTCGCCCCTGTGGCCTCTCCAACACAGGTCTGCTTGCTTCACACTTGGGCTTCGGAAGTCAATCTGTTTTCTAAAAAATACCGTAAAAGCAAACCAGGCTCACTGCAAACTATACTGAAATGGACCGGAAAGATAAATGCACCGAGTTCATTGTCCCACAGCCCTCACCCGCCCCCATCCCCTATCACCCCACACAGGCTCCTGCCCCAGTGAGCCAGGTTCTGGCTGTCTTGATGATTTGCCGTTCTCTGCATGACTCTGCCCCTTGGGTTTGCTTAATTAGAAAGAGGCCTGGGAAGTGCTTCTTAGGCACTGGCATGTTAATTGCTTATCAGAGAATGAGGAGGGGTGACAGTGTTTGGTGATGGAAATTTCCACTCCCGCCATCTCTGGCTTTTTCTCCCTTTCTCTCCCCGACCCTTCTCCTTGCCGCCTGTGCTCTCTCCCTCTCTCGTCAGCCTCTCGGCTCTTTGTCCCTCTTCCCAGCTCCGCTGCTCACAGTTACAGACTGTCTGGGAGAGGCCGGAATTGAAACCTGAAGGAAACCAGTGCCCTGGTTCGCCATTCCCCCTTCTTTGCTTTCTCCTCTTCCGTTCCCGCCCCTCCCTCGCCCCCCTCTAGGCTCACAGGGATCCCCCGAGCACAGAGCTCCGGGTTTGTACTCAGGACTCAAAGGACTATTTCCCTTTTGTCTCCTTTCCCTCCTTAGCACGTTTTTCTTATTTACTTTTATTTTTTACAAAACAGGAGAAAAGAGCGAACTGGGTTGGGGGAGGTGACACATTCCTCCGCAAAGGTACAAAATTGCCTGTAGAAAGTCAACCACTGAGCGCCAACGGGGCTGCCAGGAGGAGGCGGGGGTCCTGGGCAGCCTCGTCCAAGTGTCCTTCAGAGCAGGCTGGGGTCGCTGGGAGCGGCGCCCATGGTGGGAGGAGAGGCCTCCTTCAGCCCTTGCCCAGGAGGGGGAAGAACAAGCAACTGAGACTGAACAGAGAAACGGCAGAGGAGGGGCACATCCTGAGGGCCGAGGGCCTGGGGACATGGGCAGGGGACAGCCAGGCGCCGCCCAGGAGCCTCTGGGCATGTAGACAGCTGGGGAGGTGGGAAGTTTTCGCCAGAGTCCTTCTGTCCCTTGCAGATGCTCCTCAAAAAGGCAGCAGAGGAGCCCCCCAGAAGGGAAGGGCCACGTTTGGGAGGTGGCAGGAGCAGCCCCTGGGGCCACCCAGCCCCGTCTGTCATGGTCCGGCCTTGAGCACGTGGGTCCATGTCACGTTCTTGGCAGGGCATCAGGCCCAGATTGCTTCCCTTTTGTTAAAAAGCAGTTTCTCTACTGCGGAGGACAGGATGAGCTCCAGGAATTGTGAGACAATGGTGGTGACCGTGTCTCTCCCTCTAAGGACGTGGGCAGCTTCCGTCCCAGATTCCAGGGCCGGACGAGGGGTGCAGACACCACCCGGACTGAGCGGGCACCCCAGCCCCAGAAAGCCCAGGCTGGAAGGAGAGGCCGCCCACCCACCCCCTGCCTGGGCTGGCCAGGGCCGAGGTGGGTTGCTATCCCGGCTGCCAGCAGGAGGACAGCCAGGGCCAGGATGGCGATGAGCCCAGGCCGGTCCCCAAAGGCTCTGTGGCAGGGAGTGGCCTCTTTAGTCCTGGCCCATACGCAGGCCAACTGGGTGTGGGCATCAGCAAAGGCCACTTGCAGGCAGGCCCAGTACTCCGTGGCCTGAAGGAGGCGGGTGATGTTGTAGCTGTGGGTGCCCCGAGGCAGGCGGGCCAGAGCAGTGGCCCCCTGGCCCCGGAGGGAGGAGGCGCTGGACCAGGTGAGGTTGGTGGCGATGGTGTTGGGTGGGGGGACCCAAGAGAGCAGGATGCGATAGGGGTGGGTCTCCTGCACCCGGAGCTCTAGCCCCCATCCCTTGTCCCTGCCTAGCTTCAGGGGAGCCCGGCCCACCACCACACTGACGGTCTTGGTATCGGCCCCCACCAGGTTCTGGGCCACACAGGTATACAGCCCCGCCTCTGCCACCGTCACCCTCCGCAGCTCCAGGGTCCCCTCGGGGTACACCCGGTGTCTCTTGCCTGCACGGGCAGCTGTCAGTCGAACCCCAGCCGGAGTGACCCAGTAGATCTCAGGCTCTGGCTCCGCCAGCGCCCGGCAGTGCAGCACCAGGCTCTGTCCGCCGGCCACGTGGAGGCTGGGAGGGAAGCTCCGGGGGGAGATGAGGGGCAGGCAGTGGTCCGTCATCTCTCGGAAGGGCACCTCCCGG